TTAGCCTCCCAAGATCCATTCTCTCTACTCTCCCACCCCCCCGATCCAACCTCCCTCCTTCCTCCCCAGTCCAAGCATTCCTATTATCCCCTTCCTTCCCCCAATAACACCCATTCCTGCCACCCCCCTCTGTTGAGTTCCCTACTCCCCCACCATAGCCCCTTGCCTGTCCCTCCCTCCTCCTGAAAGAAGGGGAAAAAGAGGGAACTGACATTGAGGGGGGAGGAGAAAATTTATATATCAAGTTTTACCTGTATTTACCAAGATGGAGCTTTCTTCTGTTTTTCTAGCCTGGTAGTTATTAAGTCATAGAACTTTATTGTTTTTACATTTTATTGTTACTTTTCAGGATTCCTTCTTCTGTAAATAGCCTGTTAACAGCCTGTGCCCACTTTTCTCCTGCATTGTTATTTTTCTTGGTGATTAATAGAATGTTGTATATCCCTGGTGATGCTTTTAGACACTGCTAGTATTTCCTGTCTTCTGACATTTGTCTATTACCTTTGCTCATAATATGCTTTATGAAACAGCAGAAATCTTCAACTTTGATATAATCTCAAAGTCATAACATTTTTCCTTACTGTTTGACCTTTTGAGGTTTTATTTTTAAAAGTGCTGCCTTTGACTTAGATCACAAAGATAATCTTCTACATATCGTTATTAAATTGATAGTTTCACCTTTCAGATTTACCCTATACAGTCTGCCTTTGGATGTAACTTGAAGAACAGATGTACTTGTTCTGTCAGCTGCTGCACCAGCTTTCCTGACACCGTCTACCAAAGACCGACTTGACTCCATAGCAGATGATAACAAGGCTGCTTTGATCTTATATTCGCTTCCTATATATTTAGGGGTTTGTTTCTGAGTCCTCGGTTACATATTAACATTATGCTTCTTCGACAAAATCCATTTTTGGCTTCAGCAAAAACAGGGCTTCATGCAAGGCAAAAGCCATACTGTATACATGTGACACATTACCCATTGCTGGGCAAATATGGAGACAGTATATGGATACAAGCCTGATAAGATGACAGACATGTGAGCTGCCCAAAGAGCTACTGGGGACAGTGAAGGACTAACAGTACTGTGAGCTATGGAATTAGGAACGGAAAAAATAGAAGATTTGAGGTTTTGTCTTGGACTAGAGTGAGGATCTTCAAAGTCAAAGGCCATGTGTGACATGTAACGTATCTCTTCTTTGTCAGTATACACTGGCTTTACTGTTTTTTAACTTCAGCTTTATGCTGTCTTAATGAACTGCTAAGGTATCTCCAGTACCCTGCTTTCTTTTCAAAGGGCTAAATTAGCTAGTATGGAGATGTATTTGTTCATATAAATTTCAGAATATAAACTTAATTCTGTTTTCAAAAATCCAGATAAAATGATTTGGAAGCCATCAAGTTCTTAAAAGAAGACAATGGATATTTTTGCAACATGCCTGAACATTTATTCAAACTGCCTTATATACACTTTTTAAAGATCTTTTTTGTTTTTTAAAGAGATACTATTCTTTTCTGGTTAAACTAGATAGTTTAGTGAACTTAGGTATGGCGCAAGGATAACAGTCAATAATATTGTGTTATATGCTACAAATTTGCTAAGATTTTAGATGTGTTATCAAAGAGAAAGACAGTAATTATGTAGAATAATGGACATACTGTTTTGTTTCTTGTACTGTTTCACCAAGCATACAGGTATCAAAACATGATACTGCACCCTTTAAATATATCTAGTAAAAACAAATAAAAGAATAGCATATTGACTTTGATACTGTGGGTATTGTTTTATATTTTATTATATTTCTAATAAATGGCTAGCTTAGAGATAAAAAGACTGTTGTTCTTTGTAGATTAATGGATTCTAGCAATCTTCAAAGACTATTATTCTAACAGTCTGTTGATTCAGCTTGTTTTTCTAGGCATAAAATCTTATCATCTATAAGTAATGATGGCTTTATCTTTTTCCTTACAATCTTTGAGCTTATATTTTTACTTTCCTGATCACTTTAGCAAGAGCCTTGAGTCACACATAAAATGGCAGCAGTGTTAATAGATATACTTGTCACTTACTGATATTAAACTTCTTCCATTGAATCACTTTTTTTTTCAGGTTTTTGGTTTATAACCCTTATTAAGGTGAGGAAACTTCCTTCTACTGGTGGAGTTCTGAGGCCTTGTGCATGGTGAATCTGTTTTTTTGCATTATTTGATATATGATTTTTCTCTTTTAGGCCATTATCAATAAGGTGAATTAAATGACTTTTTTATGCCAGGGATTAAACCCAGGACCTTGTCCATGCTCAGAACAAACACTATCACAAAACTTCCCTTCCAGCCCACAGCGGTGACTTTTCTAATGCTAGATTCTATGTACTTTCATGGAACAAACTCTTGGTGCTCATTGTGTGTTACTTTATAGTATTTCAAGATATTTAAGTGAGATTTTCATTAAGTTGTTATATTTTATTTTAGATTATTGAATATATGGTTATAAGTGATCTGGGTTTTTAAGTGTTTGCTTACATTGTTTTTACCTGGTTCTAGAATCAATGTTTCAGATCCAACTTAAAAGGCTCTAGGAAGCTTTTACTCTTCTCTTTCTATAAAGCATTCTTATTAGCATGTGATTTTGGCATAAATCTCCTGGAAAGCAATCTGAGTCTGGGACTGTTGGGGCAAGGGAGGAAATGCAACTGTCATTCAAATTTCTTTAGCATTTCAAGTTGTGTCTGCTGCTTCTGTCCCCTTGTTTGTAGACACACCTCAACTTCCCTGGCCTATTTTATATGACACATCGTCTTTGTCTTTGAAGATCCTCACTCCAGTTTGAGACAAAACCTAAAATCTTCTATTTTTTCTGTTCCCAACCCCATATCTCACAGCACTGTTACCCCTTCACTGACCCCAGTAGCTCTGTATGCAGCTTACATGTATGCTATCTTATCAGGTTTGTACCTATGTGTCATCTCCAATTTTTCCCAGCAATGGATAATATGTTACTTGTATACAATATGGCCTTCACCTTACATTGCATGCAGCCGTGCTTCTGCTGAAGCCAAAAATAAATGTTGTCAAAGTAGAGAGCGTAATGTCAATAATAATTTAAATCCTCCTTTACTTTCCCTTTATATACAAGTATAACTAACTCAATACTTTATCAGAGATGTGCTTTGTATTAATTCTTCATCATCACCCAAACCTTACCCCTACTGCGTCTGCTCATGCACTGCATGTCCTCATTTATATAGGCAGTGGACTCCTTCATCCCTAGCTCCCAACCTTACTCCCTAAAAGCCTCTTCAGCAAATGTGTATTAGGAAGGAATAGGAATGTTATTAGATCAGAGAAATGGAGAAATCCACCACCTTTAGGGTAAGCCTTGGAGAATCACTGTGAAGTTGAATCTATGAGATTTCTAGGGCAGGGGGTGTCCCTCCTTTCCCAGGTAGCACTGCCGATTCACTGACTAGCACAAGCACTCCTCTCTGTATAGGAGAAAACAACTGGAAGATTACAAATTGTGGTCTATTCACCCTTCATCCACTTTTCTAAGACTGTTCTGTATTTTTATAATAATGTTTTTATTGATTCTCTCAGAATCAATTGTATTTTGATCATATTCAAACCCTTCCCCATCTCCTCTCAGATCCATCCCCACCTGCTACCTCCCCCCACATTTCATGTCCTCTTTTTTTTTTAAGTTTCTTTGATCCAATTATGTTTCCCAAATACTTTTAGACATGGATTTATCCCCTGAAGCATAGTCAACCTATCTGGTATCACACTCTTAAAGAAAACTGACTCCCGGGGATGGAGAGATAGCTCAGTGGTTAAGAATACTGGTTGTTCTCGCAGAAGACCCGGGATTGAATCCCAGTACCCACATGGCAGCTAACAACTATCTGTAACTCCAGTCCCAGGGGATCCGACAGCCTCTTCTGACCATGGGCATTACATGACATGGGTGTACTTACCTACATGTAGGCAATGCATGCATATACATAAAATAAAAATAATAAATAAAATTTTAAAAAGAAAAAAGAAAGAAAACTGACTCCCCTGGTAGCTATTAATTGCCAATAGTTTCTCAGCTAGGGCTGGGGCTTTGTGTCACCTCGTCCCTCCATGCTGGGATTGTGTCTGGTGTGGGTTTGAACAGGCCATGTGCATGCTGTCACAAGCACCGTAGGCTTAGAAGTGAGATGGCCTTGTTGTGTGTGGAAAGCACTGTTGTATTTATCCAACACCTCTGGGTCTTTTGAGCCTTCTGCCCCTTCTTCTATAATACTCCCTGAGCCTTTGGGGAGAATGTGATACAGATGTCGCATTTAGGGCTGAGCATTCCAAAGTCTCCTATGCTTTATGCAATGACTGGTTGTGGTCTCTGTGTTAATCACCATCTTCTACAAAAAGAAACTTCTGTGGTGAGAGTCAAGAGATGAAATAATCTGTGGGTATAACAATAAATCATTAGGAGTTGCTTTAATAGTATGTCCATTGATCAGAATAATAGTAATAAGCTAGAACCTTCTCTTTACCATAGCCAATGTTGGGACTATAAGAAAAAAACTGTTATTTTCCTAATACCCCAAACAAGTCATTCTAAATTTAGTAAGAAAATCTAACACATTAGGTAAAATTTATAGCTAAGTTCTGTGAAACAAGCAAGTTTCAGGGGCTAGAAAGAGTCAAAGCACTGTTCTATGGCAAAGCTATTTGGGGTTCAGACTATCATGGCTGTCAGCACTCAGTTATGTGGGCTTCCTTTTCAAGGAAGTAGAACCTGATCTACAGACCACAATGTCACCCCACTAAGGGACATGGTGAAAGTTCTCTAGTTCTCTGAGCGTGGATCTCTTCATCTCTAAAGTGAGACTGATAACCACTCTTCACATGGTTGCCTTGGGGAGTTAATGAGATGGTGTGTGGGGTGGGCCTGGGCTCCTGGGAGCTGCTGTTCCTTGTGACTGGTACCATGCTCTCTTTGAATCCGATTGCAGGTGGTAACACCAGACGGGCGTGGGAAGAACAGAGCTAAGTGGGGTTTGCTGAAGAATATCCAGTCTGCCCTCCAGAAGCACTTCTGAGCCCTTGCAGCACCCCCTCAGAAATGCACCACTCGGAGACTTAAATATACACACATAGATGCATGTAAATGTATTTTTCTCACTACACTCTTCGAGGAGTTTGTAGATGAATGTTTCCACCACCTCTGAGTTTTCCAACAGAAGCCTCCTAAGAGCCAATAAAAGGAAATGTCTGACATCATAATTTGCTGTTGTGGATTCATTACGATGAAACTAAGAGACCAAACATCAACCCTGTAAGTCTCCATCAGCATCAGTGCAGGCCCAGCCTTAGGCTCAGAATTCCGTGGTGTTATATATGTTATATTTGGTGAGCACCATGTGCCTGGGTGATAGATAGAGTTCTCTGTCTCTAGTCCCACTCCTGGGTGTGCATTCTAGTGCAGGCCTAGATAGCTTTGGGTGTCTGAGAAAGTCATTGGTTGATGAGGAGTTCTTTACCTCAATGTGTAATATATCTCAATATTAAGTTGCCGTCACTAAAATTCTTTCTGGGGGGCTCAAACAATGTCTGGCCCTCTCCTCCCTTGGTCCCTACAGAAAACCAAGGTCTAATTTCTACTGCAACCTGGGAAACCAAATTTTATTGGGCTTACTTACAGAGCAGTGGGTGAGGATTTACTTACAAAAATATGGGTACTCCCCCCTAAGACTGTACTGGAAATAACCTTGTCACAGCAGCACAAAATGGCAAGAGCATCTCCCAAGGGCTTCCTCAGCTTAGGTATCCTTAGTCCCTCCCCCTTGTGCAATTAAGGCCAACTGGTTGGTTGGGAGGCACGGCTGACTCTCCCTGACACTCCTTTCTTGCAGAGTATACCAGTCAACAAATTTGTCAGAGAAGAAGGCATCTGATGTCAGGAGGACAGCCTATGCCACAGGAGCCAACACTGTGAGAGTGCTTTTCTTAATTGTAGAATTGTGTCTTCCCACAGTTTTTGTCTGTGGTCTAAAGTCTGCATCTGGGCCATAAAAAGGGCTAGGCTTTCCTCTCCTGACTGTTCTGTTCCCCAGAGCAAAGCTGGAGCAGTAGCATGCCTGGCTGCATTACAGTGTTGCAAGCATGGGTACCCCAGGGAGCTTTGTTATGATCCTATTATTGTAAATGATGGCTTGAATCCACCATCAGATTTAGTATTACCATATAATCATTTCTGTAAAAAGCCTCAGAATCATCATTAGCACGGGGAGCAAATTAAATGACATGCCAACAGGGATTTTACTACTGATAAACTAAAGTGAAATTAAACTTAAAATTTTTAAGTGTATGAATATTGCATTATAATGATCACACCTACACATGACACCAAAAGGTGTCACCAGAATTAAATAAGCCATACACGCTGATACGGCCTCTCTAGAGGCTTGTGAAGTTCGCCGCATGACTTAGGCAGCTGGAAGTCTCTGAGCAGCAAACCAAATCAGTAGCTAGTGTTGTTCCAAAGGCAAGAACAGCACAGAAGCCCCTGTGTATTGTTTAGTCCCTGAGGCTGTTATCCACATAGAAATCCCCCTCTGAAGACCATCCTTGAGGGACAAACATATACATAGTCATGCCTCCCAACCAACCAGTTGGTTCTAGTTGTTTGTATATATATACAGATATATATATATATAATCAGTACTATGTTAGTATGCTAAATATAACCAAGAGGCTTATTTTTATTTTATGCATATGAGTGTATTGCCTGTATGTATGTGGCACCTATGCCATGCAATGCCTGTGAAGGAGGTCAGAATTGGGCACCAGATTCACCTGGAACTGGAGTTACAAACGGTTGTTAGTCACCATGGGCATGCTGAGAATTGAAGCCCAGTCCTCTGCAAGAGCAACCAGTGCTCTTAACCACTGAGCCATCTCTCCAGCCACACTAAATATAACCAAGAGACTCTTAAATATACCTTTACAAATATATGCCACCATGTTGAGCATATATTTAACCATAGTTAAATATTTTACCCTCCGTAAACAGCCTTCATTAAAGAAGGAGCTGTGACTGCAGGAACAATGAATGACAGGGTTCACCTCAGAACACCTCACGGTGTGGCAGAACAGTTTCTAGTTAAGTAGTTTCCATGCCTTGTTCATTTTTTAAAAACCCACCCCAGACTAAGCCTTTCCTTTTGCACATCTGTAATGAGACCAGGAAGCTGTGGGAATATAGCAGCGAATTAAACACATGTAATCCCTGCTCTGCAGATCTTCTCATCTATGGAGAGGGACAGATCAAGTAAGTAATGGCATAGGCACACAGCTGAATAGAAATGATGAGAAACCCCAGGAAAGAGAGGAATGGGCCGGTGTCCACTCTAAACAGGGTGTGGTGGTTTGAATGACAATGTCCCCCATAGTGGCACTGTTTTGGGAGCTTTTAGGAGGCAGGATCTTGCTGAAGGAAGTGGGTCACTGGGGTGGGCTCTGGGAGTTCTTAAGCCTTGTCAGATTTCCAGTCACTCTATGCTTCCTGTGCCTGCTTCAAGACATGAGGGCTCTACTTTCTCCTCTGGCCTCCCTGCCATGATGGACTCTAATCTCTCTGGAACCTGGAACTGTAAGCTCAAATAAATTCTTCATCCTATGAGTTCCCCTGGTCACAGAGTTTTATCACAGCAACAGAAAAGTAACTAATACACAGTGTCTTCTTAAAGAACCTATAGCTACTTCCTTGAGAATGACGAGGGAGGCGAGCCAAGTCTGAGCAGAGGAGAAAAGCATTCTGGACAATAAAGGCAGCAAGTTTCAAGGTCCTGAAGCAGCAATAGCTTGCACTGTTCAAAAATGAGCACAGGGAAAGGCTGGGAGTAAAGAGCAATGCAGGCCAACGAACTCTGCAGGGCCTGAGAGGGCCATTGAGAGGGTGTGCCTCCAGGAGCCTCTAATCCAACGAGACACCACGCTGCACACTGCTCGTCACTGTTATGTTCACTTCTGTGGGAAAATAGGTTATGGAGGCTGAGAAAAAGCAGGAGGGCTGTTACAAAGGCACAGTAGCCTGGGTCCGGCAGGAATGTCAGGTGGAACAACAGCCCTCCTGACCAGAGGGGAGCGTGAGAGTGAGCAGGACCCAGGAGTAAGCACTGGTAGATGGCACATTCAGACAGGAAACGGAGCAAACTTCAGGGAAATTCCAGAAAGTTGTGCTGTGAGCAATTAAAATGTGACACAATGCTTGGGAGCAGCCAAGACAAATAAAATTATAGCAACTGGGTGTTCTATTAGCCAACTGAGGCAGGAAAGCAAAAACCCCTCCCCCAGTGATTTTTAACAAAGAACTGAATGTGGTGACTTTGTTAAATTATTAATGGAGGACTGAGGATGAATAGGACATTAAGAAAACAGTGGTAGCAACTGTGGGAAATCACTGAGAACCCTAAGGGGGCTGGGGATAAAAGAGGGAGACATGATCAAAGCCAGACCCTGAGTCAGGTCTCTGTCTCTGACAAGAGGTCACTCCCTAGGTGATGCAGGTGTATCTCAGGGGCTTCTATGGAACTGGTACTAAGAAGCAGGGGACAAGTAGAGAGCTGACAGCATTGGCTGCATCCTCTCTGCCCAGGAGCCACAGCCGTCCATGCTGATGGCCCTGCAAAAGATTGAGCAGGGTCTGGAGAGATGGCTCCATGGTTAAGAGCACTGGTTGCTCTTCCAGAAGATGGAGCTTGGTTCCCAGCACCCAATGGTGGCTAACAACTGTCTGTAACTCCAGTTCCAAAGAATCTGACACCCTCTTCTGGCCTCCATGGGCACTGCATGACATGGGTGCACTTACACACAGGCAAAATGCTCGTGGACATAAAATAAAAATAAATAAATAAAAAGCTGGGCAGAGAGAAACCCTTTCCCTCCCCTTTGTCCAGGCTTCAATATATTTTTACCCCCTGTCGTAGACCCCATCAGTGTCAGATGGCAAAGGAAAACGCCACCTGCCGCACTCTAGTCCAGTGTCATGGGCTGGTACACAAAGGTAGCTTTGGAGCCAAGAATCAATAGCTTCAAAACTGGCATGATTAGGCAAGACTGTGGTTCAAACTGCGGACCAGGGACACAAACTTGGGGGACACTACTATGTTCTAGAACACACCAATGACAGAGATGTGCCCTACATACAGCTAGACTTCAGGGTTGACCAGAAATCCATAAAGCCCCTTCAGGGTGCTTCCAAACCACAAGACAACAGCAAAACTGAGAACCAGTATTTGAATCTGTGGCTTTGCCTCTAGTTCCAAATCCAGATGGGGACTACAACCTTACCTTTGGAGTCTTTATGCTGGGGCCCAGGGCCCAAATCAGATTCTGTGAGTGGGGCCTGAATACATGTGTTTCTTTTTTGTTTGGTTGGTTTGGGAATTTTGTTTCTGTTTGTTTGGTTGGTTGGTTTTGAGGGTCTCCCTGTAGCCCCAGCAGGCCTAGAACTCGCTGTGTAGGCTAGACTAGCCTCATTCTCACAGAGATCTGCCTGCCTCTGCTTCCCACATTCTGGGATTAAAGAAGTACCCCACTATACCCAGCTCCATGTGTTTTCTAAAAGCCTCTCCAAACCCAGCAAGCACTAGAAACCACAAGGCAGAGGCCTGAGGTAGGACCAGAGCTAGGTTTTGAAGACTGACAATCTAGAGGAGAGATCACCCTCAAAGAGATGGCAGTTTGCACAACACAATGAGGCCAACAAAAAGGGAATCAGGTTAGAGTCCTTAATATTGTGTTGTTAGGTCCTCAGAGCTAGCACACAGCATACTATCTCTTTGAGTCTTTAAGAGATGATGATAAGCAGGGTTTATGGGGAAATGACGCTGTTATTTAAACCATCGTCATCATTTCCACAGCTGCTGCTCTCCAAAATGAATTAATAAGTGCATCTTAGAAGCCACTCAACATGTGTTCAATGATAAGGTGAGGAGGGGCTGACTTTAATCTGGGAGAAAAGAAGGGAGAGCCCAGTGACACAGCAGGGGTGCATACAAAAGGCAGGATGCTGTGAGTCCAGGATGGTGAGGGTCTTACTGCCTCTGAGGCCTCCACAGCCACCCTGGCTCTGTCACAGACATGGATGCCTGGGAAATTCATTGTCAGCACTGGCCCAGATTCTTGGACTCACGTGAGCACCTGCGTGCACACACAAACGCAGACATGATCTTGTGCACACATGCCTGCATCCACACCTGTCTGTAGTCCATGCCCCTGAT